GCTTAATATTCTAGCCCAGCTCACTGAAAAAAGCACTGAATTGACAGAGCAGTGTTCTGTAGAGCAACATGATGTGTCTGCTTTAAATGGAGAATAATGGATTTAAGTTTAGTGCAGAACTAAAGGGCTCAATTACTATTCATGAATTCTGAAATGTTCTACTACAGAAACTCCTTTTGCATGAAATGTTCATCAGAATCAATGTGTGGAACTACAAAAAGTAAACCTTGCCCCCTCGCACAATACAGTACTTACCTAGATTTGTACATTTACAAAGAGCATTGCTGTGGCATTTATCTAAAACCACCTAGACTACAGAACAAACTATTTAAAATAAATATGCTTCAGAGGGTTGTTGTATGGAAAGCTGCTCTACTAGTGTCATTTTCTGTTGCTTTTAGACAACTGCTTTACCATTTGCTGAGCCTAAGATGGGCCCAATGTTTCAGGAAAACTGTTCTCATGAGGTCTGAAGGTAGCCTTTTGGCCAGCAAAGCAAGAAGGCCCATCTGCAAGCACTTTGAAGTGTTTCTGTAATATAGCTGCATTTTTGTCAGGAATTGTATTAACACTGAAATTGTAGAAGTTGTAGAAATTGTTTTCTGTTATTTCTGCAATTATTCAAAACCACAGTCCTCGTTCAACACAAAGTCAGAACCAGCACTTACATCTTGTACAATTTGGCATTTCACTTACAATATAGACTTTATCTTACAATTCAAAAGCCTCATCAGCTTCTGTAGTTTTAGTCTGTCACATTTTTATACAATATGGGTTTTGATCAGTGGCTAAAATGCAGAGAATTGTTTTCTATCTTGTGTCATATATACAGGCATGTATGATGTCTTATGGAATTATTTTTGAAATGTAAGCACATGAATGTTCAGATATGGTTGCCCTTTGCAGTTTGCAGTACTCCTTTTAATTATGACTAATGACAAGGAAAATTTTTTACTTAGAATGAGAAAAAGGTAGTGCAACATGTCTTAATATAACAAATTATTTGTATATCTCTTCTGATTACGCTCAAGTAATATTTTCCCTTAAGAATTCATATATCTTGTATTTCTTTGTAATTTAGGGCCAAATTAATCATCTATCTGCTTGGAAAACACCTGCCATTCAATATTTATTAGCATATAAAGTAAGATAATTCTTCAAACATTTGTGTTTCTGCATTATAATCAAGATTAGCACAGGGGTTTTTTTTGTTCTGTATTTTTTCTCTTTCCCCAAAACACCATCTTTTAAAAAGTTAAAAGTTTTGTTTGTTTTCCAAGTGTACAGATGATTGTCAGTCCAGAAGGCAGTTTTCAGGGGCTTTGTGTTAACAAGCTACTTCTGTTTGCATATTCCATCCCTCAAAGTAGCACATGCATAATTTTGTCATCATTGTGTGCCATCTGGAGTATATTGATTGAACTGCAGTTTTAAAATGAGGCCTAAGGAGTATTTTGGTTACTTGTATCCGGGATTAATATATATTTCAAAGCCTCTCTCATACAATGTGTGTGAAGTTTGGTTAGGACTTTGCTGTTATTTACATTAGAGTATTAACTTCATTTTGGAAATCAGGCTTTTTTACTCTGTCTGCTGTCCTTTTCCTCCACAGTGAGACAGAATCCAGTAGAGATGAAAAACAAATTTTATGCCTATCACAGAGATGATGTCCCTAAATTTTCATGATTCCTCAATCAAGTGGCACAAGCTACGAACAAAGGAGGTTGTGCTTGCTGCTTTACACTTCCAGAATTAAATGGAAAGCGAAGTAAGAAACCACCTACAAAGAAAATCTAACAAAATGATGACACTCATCCAAGGTCATTTGACAAAGAAACTTGAAAGCTATGTAAGTTCCCTTTTACGTTCGAAGCCATGTTTTGAAGAAGAAGGCCAAAAGCAGGTCTGTAAAGAGAAATAACTATAGGAGCAGAGATGTCATTATTAATTGCAAATTCATCTAAAGAAGGAAACTTCACAGGAAAAAAGGCTTCCACTGCCAGGGAAAAGCCACAGGGAACGAATCCCTGACTCTATAAGAAGCCACAGCTCTTAAGGTCAATGAACAAAAAGAGTAGACATGCATGATACATTCCTTAACTGAGACCTGCATATCCTTGCACTAAAAAGGAGGGGTTTTTTGTTTTTTTTGTTTGTTTGTTTGTTTGTTTGCTTGGGTTTTTTTTTGAGCTTTTTTCGTTTACACATAAAAATCTCTGTGCATCTTTATTTGGTTCAAAACCATATATTCCTAAAAAGTGAGATTGTAATGCATCTGCATTGCTGGCACACTGGACAAGGTGGAGTTGAAGCTTTTCATGGATCTGGGTATCTATGGGAGTCAGATACAAGATCCTCTTTTTCAAAGGGGCTCACTGACCGAGGGAGGTGGGAGCCAAGATTAGAAATCTTGTGAGGGTATCCTACTAGATGATCTTCTGCAAGGCTGTGTGGCAAAGTAGTTCAACTAAAATTTTAATTTTTAGAGAGGCTAAATTTCAAAATGCATCTACTGCAGGAGACCGGACAAAAGGCAGAAAGATTTGTTAGGCTTGGTTACTTCAGTAGCTAAGAAAACATGATTTAGAGAAGGCTGGTTTTGTGTATCAGAATGTAGTACTGAATAGGGACTGCTGCGTTACTCAAATTCTTTAATGCACCTTGGTTAAACAGCAACAAAAACTAGACTCAGACAATTTATTTCATGCAATCTAATGTCACTGGGACTACAGCTGAGATTACTTTAGGTAGAAAAATTTATAAGGGTTCACCCAATTGAAACAGTATAGATTAACTCCGTTGCCATAGAAACACATGATTTTGGCATAGCAAACACGAGAACAGTACCTCTAGCCTAGTATTTCACTTCTAAGGACTATCATCTGACTCTTCAAGGGATGATTAGAATAAAACATATATCATATGCACCTCTCCATAAATTTCAGACTATTAAATCACAGCATTCTTGGAGTTATCTAAAACTGGAAATTTACTTCATACAATTCTACCCACACAGAAAAACACACAAATTATAATCATTACATATATGTAAGTAAATTAACTTCCTGTAAGATAAGACTTCTGATCTCTCTCTTTTTTTTTTTTTTTTTTTTTTTTCCCTGACAGCTAATTGTCCATATATATTTGGACAACTTTCATACATCTCATACAATCATAGGAAAGAGTGGAAGTGCCATTTTGATGGATTCTGTCCATATAACTCTCTGTTGATCTTGGCTAATCTTTAGATGCTATCCTTCTTTTGAGGTCACAAACTTAACAGTGATATCTACATTGCGTATATGGTGGTAAAGTATTAGAATCCATGTAACATCACTTTTTTTTAAAACCTTATTGCACCTTGCCATGAGAAGAGCCAATTACCATACTGAACAGATTATTTTGGACATGTTTATGTTGTTGTTTCAATTCATTCTGGAACGTAAATATAGTGGATGTATGTACACAACAATTACTATAAATGAAAATGCTGACATTTTTTTCAAAGCTTCTGGCAGGAAACATTCTGTGTGATAATTCTCCCTATTATTTCATTTTACAAGAAACATCCGGAGAAGTTATTTTTGATCTATGTGAAATCATCAACCTAGTGCTGTGAAGATGAAAAAAAATCTACAGTTATTTCCAAAGAAACCACCTTTGTCACTGATGTGCTTCACAGCACGACTGACAAAACTCAGGAAAAGGAGACGTAATGGCAGATATTCTCAGTCCATTTAAAAACAAACACATACACATCCAACCTTGTATGAAAGCACTTTTACCCTCGCAACACCCAATTTCATACAGTAATACCTGTATGTTTACTTAGTAATTTTAACACTTGTGGAATATTTAAGTCTCCTAAATTTGACCTTCCCATGTCCTTCCCCCATGCAACATTTACTTTCAGTCTTTGCTATGCAGCTCTGACTTATCTATTGAGGTGGACAAAAAAGAATTCACAAAAATATATGTGGCTTATAATGCTGGTCCTGCAGTAGCCCCAATATAAAATGCATTAGTCCTCCATGACAAGCTCCATCTCTGTTATTTTAGACAACACCCCAACATCTTCACCAGGAACTAGAGGGGAGAGAAGCACCGTAGGGAAGTTATTTTTCAGAATGAGAATACACTCAAGCTGAGAGTCCAGTTTTTTTTGGACCTCTTCCCACAATGACATCTTCTCACTGGAAGAATAAAAATATTTTTGTTTTTAGACTAAAATGAGGAGGATTCATAGGAATTATTCTAACAAGGTGATTGTGGCTTTCTATTCTCTTGGTTTCCTACAGCAGTATCCCAAGTGAACTATTATTGAATGACAAAAAAGTAATTAAAGTCCAGGAGACTTGTGTGCTTTATCTGAAATCTTGATGGAAGTATAAATTTAAGGACATTTTGCAAGTTCTCTCTTTTATCTCACACATTATTTCTCTCAAAGGGTGCTGTATTACAGTAGTCTTTCCCATTCTGGCCCCAGGTCCCCCAGGAATTCATCAGTGGTCCTTTAGAGATCAATAGATGACTTTTACTTAACTGTGCAACTGAGTCACCATTTACAAACAGGGGTCCTTGCAGGATAGAGGAGGTTGTTTCCAGGGAGTTTTAAAGTGGAAAGAGGGAAATCAATATGTAGTTTTAAAAATAATTCCGTTCAGAGAAAAGAGGAAACAGTCATACAATGGGACATTTTATAACTATTTACTGTGTGTTACAGTAGCAGGCAGAAAGCATATGTTTTCTTATGCCATGCATTAAGCAGAAGGCATTTTCCCCAATGGAAAATAATGCCACTAATTTTTAAAATAATTTTTAGCATGTTTCAGAAACAGTAATAATTTTAAAGAAATAAACAGTTAAGAAAAATTAGAAAGAAATGCTAAAATACATGTTCCAGCTCCAGTTTCAAAATTGCTCCTTCTAACAAGTTATCTCATTTTAACATTTTTTCAGAGGACAGCCTCAAAAGTTCACATTAAATGGTTTGTATTTACCTTAACTGGTTTGTAGAGTCACATTGTAACCAGCCATTCAACCTGGAGTCAGGTATCTCCTACAGTGGGGGGACAGCAGCAGTTAGCATCAGGTTTCCACAGATCCATCAGCTCTCACCTGGTTATGTGAATTTCGAAAAGCGTTTCATGCTTTACAGATCTCATTTTGGAAAATCAAGTAATCTGTTTTCAATTCCCTATCCTCCAGAAATTTAAAAATCCGTTGCTACATGCCCAATTAGCCCCCAAAGTCTTTCCAGAATCTGCCCAGACTATTGCTCAGATTACGGTAGAATACCTAAAACCTGTTACATAGGTATGAATAGGCAGAGCCTTTACCAAAAAAACTATTTTTGAGATCTTGGCATAGATTAGTGCTTGGAGGGAAGAGGAGACCAAATCTCTTGAACCAGGTGGTCAGTGGGAGCTTCTGTTAGAAAGACCCTTGCAGTGACATCTTTGGCTAGGATGGGCAAGACCCCCTTCATGGCTGCTCTGCCTGACTCCGGCAACCCAGCTGGCCCACGATCTTAGCGTCACCACTCTGGCAGATGCATGATCCATTGCAACTGGATACTTCAAACTGCATTAAAAACACCTCCTAAACATCTTACATGCAAAAGACTGTCCTCCGTGACCTTTTCTGCTTCTGCAGGAACAGTTTCTATTGACTATTTAGAAGTGTCTTATCTCTGCACAATTTCATCAGTTTTGCAACAGGAACCCCCTGGGGGAGTGCCGAGAAAGAAGGTACAGATTCTCCACCACAGATGTTGATCACCACATTTAAAGACACAAATCAGTCTATGCACAGCATATCCAGAGAAATTTTTTATTGTTTTGGACTTTTTATTTCAGTAATATTAATTAAATTTATGTAGTTAAAACTTTCATCAAAATATCATCAGAATACTGCTGTTAAAAAGCATCTGTATCTGAGAAATCAAAATATTTCTGCAGTAAATACTGCACCACAAAATGCAGCAGTTACCTGCAGAACACAAGCAAAAACTTCTCCCACTGCCAATTTAGTTTTATATTACCTTCTGGTTTTCACCTCTTAAGAACTTGTATCCCCTTTGTCATTGAAGAAAAATGCCCTCAATACAAAATCCCTGCAAAACAGTATCAATACTAACATTTAACAAAAACCACAAATTCCTAGTTGTAGTTTTCCTCTTTTCTTCTTTGCTTTAACAATCTATAAAATGGTAGTTTAAAAACAAACAAACAAAGAAAAAACAACCAAACCAACTGAAACAAACCAAAACTGTGGAAGAATGGGAGGAAAAAATTTTCTTTAACATAAACAAACAAAAAAATCCTGAGTAAAAGTTTCTAAAATGCCAAATTGTCTCAGAAGCTTCATCCCATTTTCAAAAGACACAAAGGGGAAGTGGTAACATAATTCTCAGTGAATTTAGGGAAGCATATTTAGACAGACATGTACAAACTCCTCTACTTACACTCTACACTAACTAGCTACAGATCACCTCATTCTAGAACCTCATTCTAGAAGTCTTCCTTTTTTTTTTTTTTTTTTTTACAGAACGCTGTTTCTACTTTTCAGACACCAGAAAATGAGGAAGGAAATAGGAGAGGTTTTCCTTAACTTCAGCAAACTATGCTGTTACAGAACAAATCTGTACTTTCCACTACTATGAAAACTGCCAGCATATCATGGGTAACCCGGTTGTATAGTTAATTGGCCTTAAGGGACTGGGAAGGCTGTTTTGAGAGGGCTGCTGCTATCACTGATAGGCTTTAGCAACTTGACAGAGACAAGCTTCTGCATTTTTTGCAACTTTTTTGTCACCTGTATGTTAAGTATTGCAATAATTGTCTCTCTGTTTTTGTGTTTTAAATTTGTATATGTTGTTATTTTAAGATTAAAAGATTGACTGGGTCAGGTGGACCTTTCTGACGGAAAGAAACCACTGAGCCTCCTGCAAGTGCTGGAAGAAGGGAGCAAGTGCAAGGAGAAGAGGAATAATGCTGAAATTTAAAAAATGTTGGGACACCAGAGTGCAAAAAGCCTACTGTTAGAAAGAACATCTTGTTCTCCCAGAGGGAGTGGTGTAGGGCTTGCTACAATTCAAAGTTGGATAAAATCCAGCCTGGAAACACACACCTTTCTGCAAGTACACTGAGGTTGGGGAAAAAGTTGGTTATAAAGCCTTTACTCTCCTTTTCTGCGTAACCCAGCTGGTCTGGCTTTCTCTCTTTAAAAAGTTAAACCAAGTAGCTTATAGTCTAAAAATCCAAGAATTTGCTTTAACATAAAAATCTTCTGATCTCCCTTTGGAAGTTCACTGTCAAAACCAAAAAGGTCTAGACAGCTCTGCCTGCTGGTTTGGGGTCTCATCATAGTTATCTCCTTCCTGTATTACCAGGCACCGAGCAGTTGTAAGTGGTGACCCTATGTCCCTACAGACCCTGTCATGGTACATCTGGTATAAGGAAGGAGAAGAAGAACAAATCTAAAATGAGAACAAAAGAGAAAGATGAAGAGTGAAGGGAATACGGATCTATGCAATCTAGGAAGTACAGCAGATAACTGGATGAAATGAACATAAGGGCTCTGTTTCCTTGTGAAGTCAGGTGGAGATATACTAAAGAAAACAGCCTTTTCTTAACATAACTTTCAGATACTCAGAAGCTGTTTAGCAGACTACAGGTAAATCAAAGAAGTCAAAACCAATTACCACTTTAGCCTATAAAATTTGAAAATATTGCTCTCCTAGAAAGAATTATTTTAGAAAGTGAAGAATTTCAGCTGAGAATGCCAGAAAAGGGAGAAACTTCAGGAAGAAACTTGTGAAGCCTTTTCAACAAATCTAAAATCCAGTCCAAGTCCTGTTGATTTAGAGAGCTTATGAAATCATAATCTGAGATCAAACAGTAATGGCATTAGAAATCAAGACCTGAGAAAAAGAGTGCTAGGAGATCTTAACCAAGATTAATAAAATTATTAAAGAATTAATTAAAAGGCAGAAATATGACAAAGAATAGAATGAAAACTGAAGGACAGAAACTGATGGCTCTGGTTAGTAAATATCAAGAACAGGAAAAAGGAAAACAGAGCTGAAGGCTAAAAAGAGATACCTGCAAAATACTAATGGAATGAGTTGATATAAGATAGCATGAAAGGTTACTCAAAATCTTGATGAGGAAATCAACCCTGAGCAGTACTCTTAGGCTTGGACAGGGTCATTATAATTGAAATGAAAACCTTTTGCAGAAGCCTGCAATCAAAGAACCGAAACTACCTAAAAAGAAACAAAATATGCATCATATACACAGTGAACAAAGAACAAAATTCCTTTATAGGAACTGTTCAAGAGAAAGCCACATTCAGAGTCTGGGTTTATCTCCATGAATATGAAAAAGCTTTATGACTTACAATTTAGACACTGATACATAAGTTAATATGATTTCCTGTATTTCATTAAATGGCTTTGATAGAAGAAAGAAAAAAAAAAAAGTCATATTGAGCATGGAAAGGTAAAACTCAGATTGTGCAGTGGGGAAAACTCTGTGAGTGAACCTGAACTAGTTGCAAAACAAAATCTTTAAAAAGTGGCTTGCATTGTTTCAGGAAATAGTATCTCTTCTTGAATTGGAAACATGGTAGATTATACCGCTCACTGAAATGCTGTGAAAGAAAAGGGGCAGGCAATGAAGATTTTAAAAGTAACTAGAAAGAATGTAAAACTACAGAAAGGCATAGAAATAGCTATCAAATTGGCAAAGGATAGGAAGACAAAAGAATAAAAAAGTGGCAAAGAACAGAAAGTGAAGCTATGTATGTGAACACACACAAAGGAAGGCAATTTAGATCAATGATCATAAGAGTCCCTTATGTGCTGTATCATCTCTTATGAGTCAGTGAGAAGGTACAGGTTCAAGGTTATTCTCTGTGTTAACCAGAGGCTTAAGTATTTCAAAATGCAAGTCTCCAGTATGTAAGATCATGCATTACATCAGTATATATTGGAGTTGGCACCTTGGCTGGGACGAGAACAGACAGTGGGCTACAACCTGATTATTATGAATTTAAAAGTTATGTTAATGAATGTGATTTTAAGTGTATTTCAAAACTCAAGCTCCAGCTACATATATTCTACAAGCCTACAGAAACTAGTATCAGTGTGGCAAAGCTCAGACTTCTGTTTGACACCACAAAATTGTTATCCTCAAAATGAGAATACAGAGTAACTTCTCAATATTGAATAATTATTCAATAGAAGGCTTAAAGGGAGACTGCCTGATTTATGTAATAGCTTATATTGTATTTTTAGAAATAATATTACCACAAAAAGAGCAGAGAAAAAGTACTGTTGATAGCTGGCCACCTGAGCTAGCTTTTGCAGACACAGGAGAGTATGCATGTGACACTATTCAGAACAGCTAAAACTGAAATGGCTGGAGAGAATAAATCTTTTCACATTGCTCCTGCCTTCTGAACAGAAAAGAGAAACCATTTTCCACTTCTTCCAGAAAAGAAGATGGAACAAGAAATGGACATTCCCAATTTAAGGTCTGACACAGAGGGGGCAGGGGAGGAGGTGCTGCTGGAAGCCACCAGGACAGCGCTAACCCCCTGAGGCACCCAGGGTGCTGCGGGACAGGGTGAGCTCACCGGCTGCCTGCCACACCGTGGCACGGGGCTCAGCGTGCCAGGCCCAGCTCACTTTTCTGTTCGACGCCTTGAGACACGGTCTCCCGTGCCCCTAACCCCACTCGCCGAAGGTCAGGCAGCTCCGCTCTGCCTCCCTCCACCTCCCGCTTCTGGCTGCTCCTCTGCCCTGCCTCCGGTGCAGAAATGGGGTTTTCTCCAGAGAGGCAGGTTAGCACAGCAACCTGGCAGAAAACATGCTGGTTTTTTAAAAAGGCCTGTTTTCCACCAGGCCAGTGAGGTAGCTGAGCCTCCCTTACCGCTTAGTTAACCCGATTCATTCATTAAAGGCCCACCTTATTAGTTCTGACAAAAGATACCCTGAGAATATTACATGATGTACAACAGTACATTCTAGCACAGTCTTCATATACCGGCATGTGTCCTAGCAGTTTTATACTCAGACCACATCACTGTAGTAACTATAGCAAGATCTGTATGTAAGAGTGGGAAAAAAGACATGGTCTCCTGACATGGAGTGAAGGGTTGGGAGAAGGAGAAAGAAATAAAAAAAAAAAACCCAAACCACCAGGAATCACAAATCTATTGACTAAAACATCAACCACTGATTCCAACAGCTGAGATTTTTTGCAGGCTTCTGCACTGGCCTAACTTCCTTCCACACTAAAATCTCACATTCGGATATTTCATGGATAAGACTTACCCTGACAAGAAAATGTGAGCTGTAATAAATAATTGGCATGTATATTTTGGAGAAGTTAAGAATAAGCTTACAAATTCACTGTTTATTAGGAATTGGTTTATCCAAGCACTGGTCACCTAAGCAACCTAATTATGTTATGCATGCAATCTGCTTCCATTGAACATTCAATATCGATCGTTTTATGTAACTGCTATAATACAGAGACATAGAGCACGTCTGGTGTCTGGATGTGTGCCATGTCTTTCTAAGATAGATGAGGTTTACTATTATTCTGTGCAGAAGAGTAAAAATATTTGTAACTCAGGCTCTCTGATTTGCCATTGTGATCTTGTATACTTTCTTCCCAATGGCTATGTACAGAATATAATTACAACCCGTCATCTCTTTTTTTTTTTTTTTTTTTTTTTTTTTTCTCCCCTGTCTGGAAAAATGCAAGTTTGCTGAAGCTAAATGTTTTGTGAAAATAAATCAATTTTAATTAAACATTTACTAGGATGAATTCTTATATGCAGAAGGCTTGGATAGAGAGTTACGAAAGGACAGGTTGTGGAAAGAATTTCTCAGATCCAAAATAACAGTAATTGAATCGGAATGGGAAAAAATTAATAAAACCTCTCTGCTCCGAAAGAGGCAAAGCAAAAAATCTAGTTCAGCCACCCTCACTCCATGCTTTAAATACTCAGTAGTAAACACTGTGAAGGCTTTCTTCCTCTGTGAAAACCCTAGTCTCACATTCATTTTACTGCAAAATGAAATATGATTCAAACCTTCTATGTTTCATAAAATGATTTGCTTTTCCACTTAATTATAAGAGTGCCTTAGATAGTTGGCCAGCTTTCTGTCACCACACAACCACTGTCTTATTTGAGAGAATCCTTCCTACTGTATGCTAATTGGAAAGATGTAGCCCACGCTAAACGTCCTTCAACTCAGACAACAAAAGAAAGGAGTACAATGCACAGTTACATTTCTGCTTGCAGTGGCTTCCCTAATATTTTATTTATTTGAAGAAATGACTGTTCATAGAATAACGATGAACTTCTTAGATGAGCAAAGGAGCTTCAGGAAGGATAGATACAATAGTGAATCAACCAGGTGGGATGGATACCTTTTCCAGTGAGCTAACATACATATACATACATATATATATATATATATATATATATATATATATATATATATATATATATTCCTATTCAAGATGTAATGGTCCAGTTCAGTACTGCTTAAACTGTGCTGTTTAAACATAGCCACCAGGTCAGACAAAAATCTGATTGGCATCAGACTACTGCTGGTATGACCGTGGCTAAAGTATCGTACTGTTGCAAGCTAGGAACCCCAACCTAGAAATGCCAATATAGCCAATAACTTCTATTAGCTCTTCCTCTGTATACATTTATAGTAAATTCTACTCCTTAACACAATTATGATTTTAAAAGAAAAGATAACTGAATCTAAATGAATGTTTTCCCTAACTCAGTCTTTTTAAGTGTTTATCAGAAATGTAACATTTTGGTTGACTTTTTTTTTAAAAACTACTTCCCTACCCTAATGGATGTAATGCTCATTCTATTAAAAGGATCTACTGAGAGGTTCAAATATTTAGTACAATAATTTCTGTAATAGTATATCTTAAAAAGAAAGAAGGAATAGAAGTAAGCAATTTCACCTCTTCTTGAAGGTCATAGCTAGCACTGCTAGGCAAATGGTCTAGTCTAATCTGAGTGCTGGGGAGTGGGGCTGAGGAAAACCAGAAAGATCTACAAGAATGCTTATTAAAATGTGAAAACACTTGATTGTGCCCTTTCACTGGGGGCACTTGTACAAATTTTTGCATTTGACCTTCACTGCTAGGCCATAAGAACTATGAATTCACAGCATAACTAACTACCTGATTGATTACATAGTATGTGAAACTGTAAAGTCCACCTGGCTGCAAACTCCCCACTTCCACTGGCACAGAATGCAGCCACGTGTGCAATCCCTCATGGTGCCAACTCAGTGTGCTGCAGCCCAAGCAATCCAAGCAGGCCATGCTATTTGCTCGGCATCAGGTACTTGCGTGTTTCAAATCTACTCACACACGTACACGGGTACATACAGAGATATGCTCAAGTGGTTCCTCAAATGATGCAGAAAGGTACTGCTTCATTGCACCCTCTCGGAGGGAGGGGAGAAAAAGTCATCGAGGCAGCATATAAATAATCCAGAAAAGCAGCTCCCATGTACCCGCATATGCTGTGGGGACCGGAGCCCTCCCTTCGGGCCCAGAGGAGACCTCACGGCCCCGCAAGATGGTGGTGGCACCCTGCGCCCAGCCCACGCTCCCCACACCTTGCTCACCTTCCCCACACCTTGCTCACCTTCCCCACGCCTTGCTCACCCTCTAAGTCCCACCACACACACCCGCATCATGGCTGCAGGGCGCAGCCCCTGTCTGTCCCATCCCGTCCCCCCCCTACAAGCTTCAGCAGCCTCTCTACCTGTGACCGCCCCTTTTAACCTGAGGCAATGAGTTTTGGCAAAATCTGTAACCTGCGCAAGACCAGTGTGTCCTCGGCATGTCCCCACCGTGCGCCAAGACATTTCATTCTTTTTTCTGCATCACACTGGTGTTCCTTGAAGGATGTGTCCCATTTCTGGATGCGGCTCTGCTCTGATGAGACGCAGTAACTGTCGAGTGAGGTACATGATGCAACCTGATGGAAGGGGTGGAAACATTCACAGAGGTCATATACATCTGGGAACTGGCCAGGAGAGACGTGCACAAAGTACAAATAAAACATCATAACAGGTCCGTGCTAAGTCAAACCTCATCAAAGGCCCATGCAGTTTAGCATTCCATCTCAGGGTAGGCCCAGAGAAGGTATCTGGAGAATATGAAAACAGAACAATTGCCTAGAAAAACCTACCCAAAATATGAGGGCATGCTTACAGATTGGGTTACAGATGTGTTCCTCCTCTGCCTCCCACCCTCCCACATTGTTTGTTTGGATCCAGGTATCTATTGACTTAATTTTACATCCCCATGTTATCGCACCAAACAAGGTGGCAAGCAACTGATTTTTACTCACCTTCTCCCAGCCACTCATCAGTCTGCAGGTCTCTGCTGTATTCCTGCAGCAATTTCATTGTATGTTTTCCAGAAAGAAGAGAAGTTGCTCTTTAACACCACTTGTTGGTGTTCCACAGATAATCAGGAGTCTAAACATAACCTTTAATAGAAACACCCTAATGAGCTCCATACTTCCCAAAAGTGTGTCAAAGCTCCTCCTCAGTACTCTTCTGAAGAGATCCCGAGCTTTAGCCAAGATAAATCACACAAATACATTGACAAGAAATACACTGAATGCAAGTTTCTCAATTTTCAGGGAAAAAAAACACTATCGAACAGTTGATGAGCAGCACAGTAACATCTTTAGAGAGAGGAATTACCTAAGTCATCTAAATAACCACATTATTTGGTAAAATTAGGAAACTTAAAGAAAGAATGGAAATTTAATCAAAAGTAACCTCTTGGCAAGTATTAACAGAGGTTGAATTTCCAAGATGCAAAAAAGTCTGTTCCAGTCAACAGTATGTCATCAACAATGACTAAAGAAGTCACAATATTATTATAAGCTGCCTGGTTTTCCTGATGTCGCAGAAGCAGTAAGCAAGTGATTAAACCTAGTTTCTCAAAGGTGTATAGACTTCCAAGTTTCTCTGATGTGGGTAAGATTTAGGCATCTAAACATGTTTATAAATTTGTTTATTGTTGTGGTTTGAGCCTGGTTGGCAGCCAATCACCATGCAGCCACTCTGTCCCCCTTCTCTTCTAGCAATAAGAAGGGACAGAGAGCCAGGCTTGGGGTTCAAGATGGACCTGGGATGGGGAAAAAATCACCTTTTATGGGCACGATCTAAATGCAGACTCATTAGGGGAAGGAAAAAAGAACATACATTTATTACAGACACTAACAACACTTAACAGAGTAGGACAGTAAGAAGCACTGCCACATCTTGAGAACACCTTCCCCCCACCCCTCCCTTCTTCCCGGGCTCAGCTCTGCTCCTGATATCTCTACCTCCTCCCCTCAGTGGCACAGGGACAGGGAATGGGGGGTGCAGGCAGTGCTGCCACTTTCTCCATCTTTGGTGGGAGGAGCTTCTGGAACTTGTTCCCCCTGCTCCATCGTGATCCCCCTCTCACAGGAGACAAGCCTCCACAAACTTTTCCCGATATAAGTCCCTCCCACGGGCTGCAGCATTCCCCACACTGCTCCATCGTGGGTCACTAACTTTCTCCGACTGGAGTCCCCTCCCGAGTTGCTCCAGCGTGGGACACCCCCACATGCTGCAATCCTCCCAGCACTGAACTACAACAGCAGGGTCTAACTTTTCCCACAAGACCCCGGCCTTCTTTGGGCACAGCACTTTGATCATCCAGGCAAAAAACACAGGCCATAAATCAATGTCTGCTCCACCGTAGATCTTCATGGGTGGCAGGGGGGGCCGCCCTGCCGTCTCACCACAGGATACAGGGGGGTCTCTGCTCCGGCACACCTCCCCCCTCCTTTCTTCCTCCATTCCTCCACTGACCTTGGTGTTCATGCAGCTGCCACAACTCTTCCTCACAAATCCCACTGTTCGTCACCACATCCCTTCTTAATACATTATTGCAGAGGCGCAGCTGATTGGCTCAGTTTTTGAGCAGATGTGGAGCTGAATTGGAGCTGGGGGAGCTTTGAGAAGCTTCTCACAGGGGGCCGCCCCTATAGCCCCCTCCTCTGCTACCAAAAAAATCCCACCACTCACTCAAACCCAGGACAGTTTATAAATGGGTTTTTTTAACTTTAAAAAAATATAAAATAAGCCCTCGATTAGTATTCAGAAAGCTTGGAAGCTCTCTTACCTGCTATTTAGCAATGCTTTCTTGTTTCTGTATAAAGGGAAAGATACAGTGATATTATACAATAGCTTATTTTACCTTTGGGACATAAAAAACCTTTTGCTTCACAGATTTATAAAGCCATCAAGAGATATAAAATGATTGGCAAAGATATCAATGTTTCTTCCATCCCTAGTGGGTGATAACAGGGCATCAAAATGAGAGCAAAATGGCATGATAATGGAAATTAAATGCCAGACAGCATTTTTAGGGGACATTGTTATTCGCCCTAAGTAGGAATTTTCAAAGAGTATGCTGCCTTTCCTAAACTTACTAACCACAACATGCTAGTGTATACAAAGAAAGAAAGTCATGCTAGGAACTATCCTCTCTGTGACCAAATAGATCATCTGTTCAGGGCCTTCCTTCCTTGCTAGCTCTAGTTTAGTCTACTGAAAACACAAGAATTAGAACCGTATCTCTAGAATGCCAAGGCAGTAGAACTGCAACGAAGCACAGCTCAGTGTTTGTCCCTTCTAGATACAGATGTATCAGTCATCTGATAACTCCATTTGCAGCCTGCTCCAGAACACACATGAACTGCATGGTAATAGTAGTTTATGATTTCATGAGACACCAGGTTCACCAAACTGTAATACTAAAAATCCTTGAAGAGTTGACACTAAAATACCGGAATATTCTAATGCACAAAGTTTTGTTGCTAAAGAATATTATGTCCTTATTACAACATAGATGAGTTATTCACAAAAATAAATATCTCATTACTTTGAAATGCTGAACACCTTGATCACAAACCTGTCACAAAAAGGGTTTCAGAAAATGAGACAGTGGTAATAGCAGACAGCTGTAACTCTCCAGTATAGAATTCCATCCAAGGATGGAAAAAAATCATAATTTTTGCCTATTTCTCTAAGGTATGCAGAGCATAAAAAATGAAGCCGACAATAATGGTAATGAAATGCACAAGACCTTGCAATATTATAAATTAGAGCTTTAGATAAACGTTATCTGAGTGACTGATCAAAGAGTAATAACTCACAACATTATTTCTAAGCTGTACACAGTTTCAGCACTGACCCAAGTGATCTGGTTCTTACCTACTACAGTGTACAAGAATCTTTCATGGAGGATCCATATCCAAATTCTTTGCAGGCCCCTACGGCATTCAAACTCTTTCTCAAGAGATTACTCAGCTCATGATGTATGACACAGAAAGGTACAGATTTCTCTCTAAGCTTCTCTTCAAACCGTGGGCTGTCAATCACTAACAGTAAGGAAGGGAGGTGGAGGGAAGGGGAATAAAGGCACATACATTTGCACACATGAAGGAGCTAGAAGGCATTCCTTGTAATGGATGCACAAGACACTGCTTTCTGAAATCCAATCCCCAAATTCACCCTCCCCCCTTTTCATCTGTCTTTCATTTATGTACTGTTTGTCATATTCTGTTTTCCCATCTGGTGGCAGTTGTGTACATCTAATGAATCCTCCAAAACTTTCAGCTTTTTGTCCTTCTTTAGTTCCTTAGTTCATTTACTGTTAACTTCTTAAAAGCTTTTCTCAAAAGCAGTCGCTTAGGTGACATGTTTCCACTTTGCATGTGTAAGGCAGGTATTACTGCTACTCTCTGTGTTGCTTGTCCTGTTCTAAAACCTATAGCGTTTACATTACAGTAATAGGCATACACGATACGGAATAATATTCACAAATGACCCCATTGTTCAGTATGCTGCATCCCATACATTTACCTATGGCAATAAATCCAATAGCATTACTTCAGCTATGGCAGATTTATACCTGCTTCCTATCAGTCAATGTATTGACTTTAAAATTTTGTTCTGAGTTTTTCATTACCCATTTGAAACATCACTTTCATACCTATCAAAATTGGTCTCCATTTATACATAACCTCAGTCCTTACTTTCTAATAATAAATCTCAAATTCATCAGCCCCCTTGCCAGGTCTCTCATCCATGAGCAGCAGAGCATTCACCTGTTATGCCCCTGAGCTATGGAATTCCCTGAACTGAAGTCTCATCTCCAAATCCCCTGAGCTTTTCTAATCCCTCTTTGATTCTCACTTATTAAAAATTACTTTTAATATTTGATCCACTACTGACACATGCTGTAGGCTTTACTGACATGAAAATACTTCCATTTTCTTTACAGATGATGCACTGACAATGTCAAGACTCAAAATGCCTTTTCATTGGCTTTCTGTAAAGATTGCAAGACTTGCCTTTCTCTGTCTTTTATTTCTGGGTTAAGCATTAGTTCATCTGCTTAGGCTGTGGTGTCCAGACCCCAACTCTGAGTAAAACCTGAAGATTCCTATTGTTATTAGTATTATATCATGAATAAAATGCACAGTGCTGAGTAGGCACATCAGAAAAATCTCATCATTTGTAGTAGAGGCACTTTACAAACCATAAGCTAATTAAAAGTTGATATCCTTATGGCCTAACTGGGCACTATGCTCAAGGAAACTGAAGCAGAGAGTCAAAAACCACACCAGATCATTAGCAAAGGTGCTCAGGCATTCCAGTGTCCAAACCCTGACTAGGACAAAGTCTCTTTGTCAGCAGCGGGTATGCCTGTGTCTTTCCTTCCCACACTTGGTGTGCATTTTGTCACTTGTGGAAAACACATTTTGTTACAGGAGCCCACATGTTATTTGAGTACCCTGAGGTGAAGCACAAGCAGCCCTGAAGCATATTAGGACTGTAACTCCTGAGGGAAGGTGTAATCTTGACTCAGGATCTGCATCCAAGTGACCTAAATTTCATCTCACCCCTTCAGAGTGAAGTAATATCTTTGAAAACTCAGATAGGTTTGATCCTATATAATGTGTGTGTGTGTGTGTGTGTGTGTGTATTTTTATATATACACACACAATCACAGATGGGATAAACTGTCATGTCAGAGAAAGCTAAAACCTATTTAAGAATTGTTTGGAGAAGACAGTAAGATGTTGTTGGGTAAAGCCAGTGGGGATCGAGGACAAAGATTAATATCAGAGGGTGACACTGTGAAAAAATTCACAGCAGGTAAACCTCAGAAGAGAATATTTGTGGGAAGTACATATGAGAGGGCGATTTATTTTCTGATCACGTGTAATGGCTGCACTTCCAATTATTTCTATTCCCTGACTGAGTTTAATAGAAGTTGTTAGTTTCAGCGATTTCTCAAGCCTTGCACATCACACTACAGCCCATGTGAGAGTCTACAGGGCACTTCTCAGCTCCAGCTACTCTCTGAGTGTGGACTTGGCATCCCCCTCCCCGGTGTCCCACAGCCACGATGTGGGAAACATTGCTCCGTGGCTCTTGTTGCTGTATTAACAGAAATACTGAATACTTCTGTCCTGGGCCAAGAGAAAACCCAGACAGAATGAACCAGCAAGTGATGAAGATTTCTTCTTTACATTTACATCTGCCCCCAGTTAAACAGTTTATAACACAGCATAACAGGGTACATGTATTTATCTTTACTGATTGAATTCCAGGTCAGCCTTTCTGAGTTTAGGCCTGAGATTAATATCAGGTTGCCAGATTTACTTATGGCAATATATTTACTCACATAAATTATTAGTGTATTGAATTTGCTTTAGTACTCTGGAACTTAATTGTTCTATGGTTTCTTTGAAATCAGTATTAATGGTTCAGAGAGTTTCTCAGTAAGCTCTTTTAATACTCTTGAGTGCAAGCTATCTGGCCCTGTAAATTCAAAAAACTGTTTAGCTCTGACAGTTGCTGTTTAACAATCTCCCAATTTACTGATTGAGCAGAAAGTAGTCCTCATCACTGTCAGATATATCATGTTGGTTCTTTCCAAATCAGAACAGAAATATTTAGTGGGTTCTTTTGCCTTTCCTGCACCATGGTTGACAGCATTGCCATCCTTCTCTAATATCAGCTGTGCACCACTGTTAGCTTTCCATGTTTCTGCTACACTGAAAGAATTTCCTCTGCCCCACATTGTTACGCTTTCTTTAACTTTTCCAGACCTATCTGTAATTCTTAACTAGCAATGTACACTCCTCCAACAGCTTCTCACCTTTCCAAATGTTTTGCATTGGTTTTAATGAGGAATAATGTTTCCTTTCAACCAGGGAAGCTTTCTTACACCATTTTGGAAATGTAATATTTTTACAAAGTTACAAAAGAAAGAAATGCAACCTTACCTACAGTTGTTCACATTAGAGTTCTGAAGCAAGTCTATTATGGGTTGAAACCATAGCCTTTTTGTACTTAACAAACAGAATGATATAAATATATTTTTACTTTCATTCAGTAATTCATTTTCACTTTAATAAGCATTTAACATTTTAACTTACATCATAATGGATAGATAATGCAAGCTGAGACTGGGTGCTGGTCTGAACACTTCTTCTGCCAACAGTATTTATCTGTAGGAATTTTTTTATATTAAATGTAAAAATTTTAATGAAGAAATGCCTTCTGTTGAATATTTTTAATTAGCAAAATCAAATGTCTTAATTATATTAACTTAATACAAAATTACTAAAATTAAAATAAGCAAACTCCTCTTTTTCTTTAACAAGAATGAAGCATGTTAATAATTTTTTCCTTTTCTTTTTTTTTTTTCCTTTTTTTCCCACCAAACCTAACAGAGGGATTTTTTACCTTGCTGGAGAACAACATTAAAGATCCTAGAGTTCCCTTTGTCTTTTCTGAAGGCATCATAAAGAAGGTCAGATTCAGCCTGAAGGCATAGGTAGCTACCTGCCCCAGCCACAGCAGCTCTTCCACCCAGCACCTGAACCTGCAACTGGTGGGAACCGTGTGCTTTGAGCCTTCAGAGGCTATTTGGTCACACCCCACTTTACCCAAGTTTGGGAGAATGCTGGCAAGCACGACGGGCTAGAGGCAGGAGTCAGTTTTACAGAGGCCAGACAGGATTTTAATCAAAGTGAGACTCCAGACTATGCTGGCTTTTCCTCTGCCTCCCCTTCAGCCTACTCCTGTCTGCATAGTTTCATTGTGCTTTTCACTAAACTTACTCCTTTCTGCCTAAACTTTCCTAAAATGCCTCGAATTCAGTAACCATCATCCTGTTCACTTCTTTGGTAAGACGTTCTCTCCTTTTTCTCTTGTGTTTATTTAAAATACGTGGTGAGGAGCTGCCTCTGATCTGTCTATCCCATGTAACAAAGTTAGGCCGTGTTCTTTGTTTCTTCTCAGCACCTGTCATGCAAAAGTCAATTAGAAGTGGTACTATGGAAGGGAACAGAGGCAACAGACTTGTTTCTCTCTTTTTTTTTTTTTTTTTTTTTTGGTGAAAGAGATAAAAGCATAGCTTACATTTACAACACTCTTCAGAAAGGCCTGTTGAAGATACTCCTTTACACATTGAGATGGAATACATGCTTAAAACTGGTGATTGCAAGGCATCATCAGAACACAACTAACTTCTTTGGTCTTCTTAATTTCCTGCAGCACTAGTTTACTTGTTGCATCAGGGAATGCAACAGGGAACACTGCTGACTCTGGGTACTCCAGAGGCAGCGTGACACCCCTTGGGGCTTCATACATTCAGTGCCCACCACCATCAGTCATGGCGTTTCAGGGATCTAGCTCCTTATGCTAGGGACAGTAGGCAAGGGAAAACAACATTTAGGGCTTTGAACTTCCAGTGTAGAAACAGAAGGAAGGAAAGTGTCTATTTAGTTTAAGTTTCTGGATGGAGAAGCTTCTCCAACCATGACAGGCACCTCAGGAGTATATACACAAGTGGCTGTTTAAAAATTTAACAAGTAGGCAGCGGAGGCTGCTGTAATAGGCTGATCAAAGGCAAGAGTCAGCATCTTGACAGTGAATGAGTGCTAATAGCTACAATAGGGTTGGACTCTAAAGGACCAGGAAGACAAAAGCAGTTATTTCTGATGCAGCATAGAGAAAGGAAAGATGCGAGAGAGGGATAATGAAAGAGTGATCTTTTCAGCACTATCCTCCACAGCTACAAGTGGGACAGAATGCTATTTGCAAAGGCTGGAGTGAGGAATGTTGCTGTAGCTGAGACATGAGAGGCTGAATGAGCTGGATATAAAATTGTCTGTTTGGGAATCTTTTCAGAAGTGTAAAGAAGGCAAACCTGTGAGGCTGAGACACTGTCCCAAAGCCCCTCTAGTCAAAGCGAGCAGACCATGGGCCTGACTGATGGGCATGGGTGAGGGCAGCAGTTGGGAGCTCTTTTAGCTGTACTGAGCTTGCCTGATGGCTACCCACCTGAATGCAGGTGCCAAAGTCAGGGAGAGATGTGAGCTTGAGGAAAATGTGTTACTAATTAGATGAGAGAAAAAGGCAACTAATTAATGTTTCAAGAAAGCATTACCTAGAGAAGAGGAGGAAGAAGACAAAAGGCATAAGCGCTTTTGGTAACCAGCTGAAGAAATCAGGAATGGGATAGCAGGGTTAGGTCTTTTGTTGGTTAGTTTAAACCCGACTACTCAAAGCCCCATCACTTCAATTACTTCATTCCTCACCTGCTAGAAAGGATTGTAATGGAACAGTCATCCCAGGGTAGGGAGCACCAAGGTCTTCTTATGCCAGCCTTAAGTGGGGCTGCTGGAGCAGGAGAGAAATAAAATACTGCCAGTAAGAAGTCTGTCAGCTAGTCATTTGGCACAATCACCATAGCGTAGGAGAAACAATCTGCAGGTTGGAAACAGTCTGGGAATCTTCTCTGAAATGTAGACTATTGCCTTTTCTTTTTAATGCACCATTTCAATTTTTCCAGTGTTCTGCTTAGTCATTCTAAAATATTCCTCTTCCATTTTGCTATACAACACACCGCACAGTGGGAGTACTCTGTGGTTACAGACTAATTCTGAACCCAATTTAAATCAATGTGAATGTAATTTACCATGTATATGGCTATAATGTTCCCTTGTCGGTTGTACCCTTTATTACAATCAGGGAAGTATTTTAGTGTAGTTCCCTATTTTTCCACACATTAGTATTTTAAAATAACATTGTTATCCTCTAAATATGTATTACAAAAACTTATAATTCTTACAGAAATCTAATCCATTTAAATCTCTAAGATCCATCCTGTGAACATACTAAGCTTAACCTTGTTTAAGATTTTGGGTCTAAAAGTTCTTGCTTGTAATTATCGTAAAATATTATAGTGTCAGGAAGGAAGATGAGGAGAATAATCCTGTTTCTACATTGAAAGAGTCAGAAGATGATCTGTTGAGAACAAATGCAAGAAAGCCAGCAAAAGTACAAATCCCAGGACAAGCATGGATGACAGCATAGGAGGCAGTTAGCAGCTCAGGAAATACAGCTTTGGCTAGGAAACAAAAGTAAAAGGCTTGGAAATCATTGGGAAAAGTAGATTACCAGGTATTGAAGCTAAATTTTAGAAAATCTGGAATGTGAACACAGTTGATACACTCCAGGCAGAGGCAAATAGGACACCAGCATTTATTTAGGATGGGAAGAAGTGAACCAAAGAAGAGTGAGGATGAAATACTGATGAAGGAATCAAGAATGGTTTCAAAAAGTCCTAGTCAAACAACCAAGAAACATCAGAGAACAAACCAGAAGCATCAATATCTACAGCAGGAGGCAAGAATCTTTCAGGGGAAGGAAAGATAGATTGGGGAAATTACTTTTGTGAGTCTTCCCATGGAATACGTTTGCAAGAATTTTTGCAGAAAAAGATGAAATGAGAGAGGAGGAGAAAAGTTTTGAGATACTACTGGTGGACCACCATCTGACCACCAAATTAGAAAAGCTGTTAGAGAAAAATTAGAAATGTGAAAAAACAATTTTATATTGGAAGAGGAGTGTTAACTGTAGTTGCTATAGAACCAGACAGTACTTTATTATTTCAATAATTTCACTGTTAGTTTCCCTGAAAATTTTAGCAAATATAATCCCCCAAATTACCAAATACTTACAAAAAGAGATGGCAAGTTTTAGAAGAGAATCTGAACAGAAAATGACCTTCCACTCTTCTGCGTAGAGATACGACATGATCCCGGGACATATTTACAATTTCCCAAACCCAGTTGCTGCTTCATTTCATAATTTCCACCCATTTTTACCTGCATTAAAATCACAGTTAAGGTCAGCATGAAGATAGAAGCACTATGTTTATCTCTCATCTCAAATTTATCCAATATTCTTAGGAAATCCCCAAACCCTGATCTCTCTAGCTTTTGCTGCCTTTTCTGTCCCTCAGGAAGCAGGCTAAGTGCCAGGTCATGTTGGGTAACAAGGAGGTAGGAGTAGGACTTATTTTCATATATGTAGTTCCTTCTTATCAAATACTGGCAACTTGATGTCCTTCTTACATAATTTCTGTCATCATCTGAGAGTGTTTCACAAGGTCACTGAAGTAAGTATTATTACCTGAGTCTCTAGCAATATTGTTTGTTCATAAAAAGATGAGGTTGCTGAGGAAAAAAGATTAAAGAGGTAAGTTTAAATCAAATAGAAGAATTCCATAACTGGGACAACCCTACATATTATCCCTTCAAATAATTACAAGAACTTTCTGAGGTGAGACAAAAGTCAAATACCTGAGTTGGTGTGCTCATAATCATTACATCAGAAGTTAAGTTGCACATATAACAATGTGCACTTGAATGAAATTAGGTTATACACTTGAATTATATACACTTGAATAAAAAAAGGTTATCCACACAGGTAAGACTGATGTGCATAAATGTTCCCCAATCCATTTTTTAGAGGCCCAGACTGTAAAGTGACTAATATTGTATGATCAGTCTCGGTGACAGATGAGCTGAATCCTGTACAAGATCTCAGTAGCATTATTCTTGTGAGCAAAACAAAACTTCTTGGGGAAAGGTGTAAGTCATGCTAGCAATCAGTAAACTATCAAAGTTACATTTAGTTCACAGGTTTGACTGTAAAAAATTCATAAATGGTAAAATGTAACAATCTTAATTTAAAATATATATTCGTATTTTTAATACATCAGAATGAAGCCTCAGATTTTACATATCCTGAGCTGTAAAATTTTTTGATGTTTTATCAAAGTGAACATTAGAAGTCTGCACACAGAAGACAACAATAGGAAAAGAACGAGCCAGATTTGTCCTTTCTTGTATCTTCACTGAAGGTCAGTGAAGTTCTCCACAATTGAAAAGAGCAATCCACATGGATCTGCTTGCAATATTGGAACCAGCTAGAACTGCTTCTGTAGGTAGAAGCCTTGATTTGATCAACTGTCAAAATCAACGAGTAGAAAGTAGCTGGAGCTAAAATAAAGTTACATACTTTATTTCATGTAAGGCCCTATACATTATTGAAGGGAGGGAAAAATTACTTCTCTTTAGGCTAGGATTTCAAACAGGAAAACCAAGAAAAAATTAGACAAATGCCCTCTCTATTTAGCTTCACTTGGATGAGCTACATACCTGGTACAGAAAGTGAAAATTATTCTACTCTCCTTTTATGAAACAAATTTGATCTAGAATCAATCATCATTAGGATGCAGAATTTTGGTTAAGTTAGAAGTAGACATTTAGTTAAGGGAGGAAAAGCATTTCCTTAGATATTGGCAGAAAAACTGAGAGTGTTTCAGTAACGGGCACCATTACTGAAAAGAAAAGGAATGTACAGAAATTAAATCGGACAGCTGTCTCAAGAGCCCTTGCATTAATTTTTCTTGCTTTGTCTATCACGAACTGTCAGGTTATACTTTTCACTACCATTTCCAAAAACTATTATAGAACAGAGCTGCATGGGATATGGAAGAAGAGTTTCTTACCTTGGTTTTCAGTTGTTAGCTTCTAACAAAAGAGTTTCTGATGGAAAACATTGAGCAAGAATGTCATAGAGAAACATCTCGTGTCCAAGATGACCTGTGACCAGAGCTCACTGAAGTATTTAGATCAGGATCTAAACCTTTTTTCCCACCCAGTTCAGAGCAGAAATCTGAACATGCACATCTCTGATGCAAACTCTAACCAGCAGGAGATCTGTGTGCAGCAGGGGAAAACAGAAGAGAAAAAAAATATTTGCTATTGTAGCCTCTCTCTACTTAGTATATCATGTCAGCACCTCTAAAAGCAAAACTCATAAAAGGCAACCTCCCTCATTCAGGCATACATGCTCATAAGCTCTTTAAACAATGGTAAGTCCAGCCTTTTGATCACAGGTCACCACAAAGTGCATGCCAATAAACTTACCCTTCTGTAGTGCCTAAGAGTATTCCATTCTTTAAATTTTTCAAATGTTTTTCAGAAGTTGCCAGCCAGAAACAAAACTGGAGGAAAGAGAGGTGTGCTCTTTTAACCAGGAACATCCCACTGTCCCTTGTTAGGCACGTACTTAAAAACAGAGAACTGATTATTTGGCTCAGACACAGGCAGTGCATGGCATGCAGAAATATGTTCCATATATTTCATTAGTGCCAGGTGTCTAGCAGCAAAATTTTCCACTAGGTACAGACATTTGATCTGCCTTGCAGGCATGCACATATAAAGAGAGCTTCCTCAAACCCAGTGTACTGCTACAAAGGTCTAAGACATCTCTGAAAACAGCAGACAAATGGTACTGGAGTAATAACATGTGACTGAAGAGGTTATCTAATTTGAACATGCAGGCTATGCCACCCAGAGTCACTTACATAAAGCATGGGAAGCATTTCCCACAAACTAGTTTTCAGAACATACCTGTGGCCCAGGATCAAACAAACAAAATAAGTCACAATGGACACTCACGAAATGCTACTAGGAAGCTCTTTAAACATAAAGGAAGAGGTATGCAGTTCACACAAAATTTCAAAAATGCCAGATCCCAATATTTAAATGTTACAGAGGTGTAAGGGACACAACTTTCACAGAAATTGTTTCCAGCTTCCGGTGTCTTCTCTTCCAGAGAAGAAACAGGTGTTCTATGACAAGAGAGTAGGCTTTTTGTTTCATTGAAAGAAGTGGTAGGAGAAAGGAAGAACAGCAAGAAGCAGCTATTTCCAGTTCTAGCACAGAGAGCATCAGAGCAATCCTATGGTCCTTCAGCCCTTTGATCACAACCATCTACAGCTTTAGTGTGGGGAACTGAAAACAAGCAAAGAAATTCGGGACATTTAAGGAGCAAAGAGTAGGTAATAACATTTCCTGATCTCTGAGTGATTGTGCTTCTCTGCATAACAAGTGGTACAATAAAGAACAGGCAGACAGCATGTGTCAGAGCAGAGAAATGCCTCCAGAGTTCATGTTCACACACAGGAATCAAGGAAAAGCTTGGGTCCACACACGAGATCCAGGAATTTAAGTTGATGCTTTTTCATCAAGCAATTTGAATAATGCTTCTTTTGACATGTAGATTGCTTCTTGACAAAGAGCTGCGATATCCTTTTTTTTTCCTTCTTTTCACACCATTAGAAGTGGAAGAGCAATTTCATAGCTGATTTTCTATTGAATTCTTTTCTCTAGTTTGGTTACAGAAGACTAAAAGATAAAGCACTGAATTATCCTACTCCTCACTGCTTAACATTTTTTTCATAAGGAAAAGCTTGTTTTTCAAGCTACCCCAGTCCATCTGTTTTTCTGAAGAAATACTAGCTTCTTTTGGGCCCTTTCCTTCCTCTCGTTTTTTTTTTTTTTTTTTTTTTTTCTTAGTTTGAACAAGGGTCTGACAACAAATGTGCAGGCAAACAAGGATTTTCACAACTATAAATATAGAAAGAAAATAGCACATTTCTCTATGTGAAGATACTGAAAAATGCTGTTTAAGTGTACACAGAATGATGTGATCAATAAAAGACAACATACCTGACTTTTGAAATTTCTTTACTAATAACGATGGGTGCTCAGTTTTATTTTCACATGAACACATGCTTCCTGAAAGCCACATCTTTAAAATACGTCCATAAATCACCATCAGAAACTGAAGTACCCGCCCTTTGTCATTTCTAGGGAAGAACCTCTCACTGAAAGAAACAAACAAAACCTGACAAGAAGATGATTGTTGAAAAGTTGACATCCTTCTAGCAGTTTCAGTAAGTTAGCTGGAGAGACAAAGACCGGTTTGCATTAAGTATAATGTGTTCTGTGCAAACAACTTGGAAGAACCTTATGTTAGAAGTCTGTACACATTGTACAATGTCAGACCTACAGAAATAGAAGGGAAAGGAAAAAAAACCTTATAAATAATCAAGAAGTCCAAGGCCACATCTTTGAAAATTGGAGGGAAAACACTGTTTGCTTGCATAAGAATCTGGGTGATATGTAAACTTCAAAAGTATTGTTTCTTATATTATTTGCAACTATAAAATAAAAAGCAGTAGCTGAAGGTTTTTACAGGAAGCTAGAAGAGTTGATGGAGTTTAAACAGCCTTAAGCTCAATTAGATGCTTTGGAAAATTCTTGGTGTGATACAGTTGTCAAGGTTTAGCTAATTACTAGTCACGTACTTATTTTCATGCAGCTCAGGTAGCTTTGGCAGTTGTTGAAATTAGGCCAACTTCCCTTGCTTGAAAAGTTTGAAACAATAAAACCAAACTCTACCAAGTATAAGCCTCAATGTCAAGCTGTGAATTTATACTTGTGTAAAGTGAAAACAATTAGCAGAACTACCTGAACTGCCTAGGGCAACAGGGGAAGGGGAAAGAAAAAAATTAACTAGAGCAAATAAGAAAATCATAACGAACCCCATAAGGAATAGATTAAAATGATTTTAGATAGTTGTTCTTTACCTGTGGACCACCGTCCATCACCACTGAGAGGCTTTCAGTGCCAGGCAACCGGTGTGGCTCCCCACGGGCTGGTGCGGTGGGAGCATCCCGCAGTTCTGCTGCGCTGCCCCGCGCCCACGGGCACCCCCTGCCCGAGCAGCCCAGCACACAGATCCCCCCGTAGGGACAGGGGCAGAACTCGGTGTCCTCGGTGCCGGCTGTGCGCCCTGTTGGGCCGGCCAGGCAGAGCAGGTAGCCACTGAGCTCTTGGTGCATCTTTCTGGATGTTAATTGCAGGTTCTCTCCCCTGCTCAGGCAGCAAGATTTGCAACGGGCTGTAGGAACCCAGTATCCTCAGAAGTCCTGCCTTTGTGTAAAGATCTGTGCAAGTGAAGGGTGGAGAGACTGACAGAGCAAATGCATACATTTTGTTGCCATGAGACAAAAGGGTTTAGAGGGGGAGAAGAAATGACCAAGTTTCTTACATTCTTCAGCATTATAATACATCTTTGTCCACTCTCAGCTATCAGTTCATTATTTCAGTTCCAGTGCTACCTGCCATGTTATTCAAGTACCATACAGTAAATTTGTGCTAGTTTTCTTTCTTTCTACTATTCGTATTTCCTAAGGAGACAGCACAGTTCTTACAAGAAGAGTCATTTAATTCACATACCTGCCATGGGCTCCCTGTGTGGCCAGAGACAAGCCACTTAACCTTTCAGTGCTTTGGTTTCCCCATCTCTAAAAAGGGAAAAATAACAATGCATTTCTTACCTTTTATTCATTTTGTCTGTTTAGACTGTATGGTCTTTTAGGGTGGAGGTTATCTGCACTAAGTTACAGTACTGCAGTATTTATCAGTATAAAGATAGCAGTTGCTCGTGTAAAATAGTTTAGAATTTTTATTTTCATAGGTGAAGTTCATCACTATCTGAGCAAGGGCAAAAATGTTCAAATGCTTTTTTAAAAAGCAAGTAAATAGCTCCACACTGCCTATTCCTGCAGATACTCTGCTGTCAGCCACTAACAGTGGCCTTTAAGCAGCACTGTGCCTAGATTCCTCATTTCTGACAGCTCAGAATTTTACAGCCAGAGAGGGGATTAGGGACTGCCTTGTCTCTGAATTCCATGGCTTTCGTGTTTAGCACACTGTTAATGTGATTTTAATGTAGATTTGCCACTGTTCTGTTCTTGCTTGATGCAGTCGTGGTAATATGCAGAGTAGCCATAAGAAATACAATATTTCTTGTTTCAGCCCAGAATGTGTGACAGTTTGGGGGCTTAAATTTTTAGAGTGCCAACACTTTAATCCAGCTAGGTATTTTTGTATTACAAAGCAATAAATGGTGTGTACCAGCTTGCTAAAACTCCTGACTCCCTATTAACACATGCCTAGATTCAAGCACAGAGCTTCTACCTTCAGTAAGAGAGTTTGTGACAGTTTTTTGAGGACACATTAGTCCATATTGAGACTTGGCATGGAAAATGGTAGAATTGCCTGATAACCTTGTGGCAATGGAAAATCATTTGTCTTTTATGCTATCAACCATGCAGTCGTGTTGACAGGCTTTACTTAAGATGCCACAGACAGTGTGGTTTTGTTCTCCCCTATCTGAGCCCTTACCCCTCCAAGACAGCATAGGACAACTGCACTTGGCCTTGAAACCCATTTTACAGAGTTCAACAAGGCTGATTCACCCATTCTAGTAAATTTATACTAAAATCTTGGGGAAGATAGTGGGAAAAAGTGAGTATGTGGGGCTGTGATGAAGAGGTATGTCTCCTGCAATGATCAGTACTGTTGAATTATTAATGTACTTTCTAACAAAGGTTATAACATGGATCACAAGAGCATTAGCAACTAGATATGTTACCAGTATGAAAAATATTTTTTTGCCCTATTCTTAAACCAGCTGGGACTTCCTCACAGTTGAACATTTATAAAAGATCTCTGCCTGTACTGAGATATTTTCTTGATTTTTTTTTTTTACCATCACACTCAGATTTATTCAACATAAAAATTTACTAGTACAATCTGAATTTTGTGCCCAGGACTGTGACTTAAATTTGCAGAAATAGCAAAGTCCCAAATCAGAGGCACAATACAGAAACCATTTTAGACTTAACTCAATACTATATATTGCTGATGGCCCAGGTTCCTAGGAAGTTAGGAGGCTGAAGGTTCATAACTCCATTCAGCAGCACAAGGCTACCTTTGAAGTGTAGGAAAGAAAAAATATATTTTAAGAATTTCAAATCCCGGCTTTATTTTTAATCAGTCAATAGTGTTGTGGGTTTCCTTTAATTCTGTCCTCTGCCAGCATTCTGGGTAACTTCTTTCAGAACTGGGCAGACCTGATTAAGTGAAAGAAGTGGAGCAAAAATTCTCATGACATTCATGAGTATTCACAAAAATCAGAGACTTAGAGCTGGGTTTTAATTCATA